GCCCTCTCGCATATGAAGGTGCCGGTGTAATGCATGACTTCGATGTGAACGAGCATTTCTTATTCCATGGGGTTGTACGTTCCACCTTCGAGAAACTCTGCAAGGGTGGTGTTAACCCGCAGCATGGTGGCGAGGCTACTGGCAAGCTCTCTGGTACCGCTGCATATTCGCTGCCAGTTCTTCCAAAAGTGACGATTGCACCAACGAGCGCGCAGATCCGTTGGCAAGTAATGTTATGGCGGGCATGTCCCTCTACAGGGGGAATATGCAAAAATAGTCAAAAGATAGTCTGGGGACTATTTTTTGAAAATGTTTGGGCATCTTTTGAATATGTTTTGAGTATTCTTTATTTTTCGTCCAAAATCCCCCTGTAGGGGGACAGGCCCGACCTAAAAATAATGCCGCGAGGACCTCAACTGTTGTTCGCGTGGCCCTTTGCGAGACACTTCGAACGGCCAACCCCATGCAGGGCGCTACGAGGCCTCCAGACAGCAACGACGGCGTGTGGACTTTGATTCTGCGTGGGCTGGTAAGTCGAGTAATGTTAAGTCGGGCCTGTCCCTCTACAGGAGGAATATTCAAAAATAGTAAGAAAATAGTCTGGGGACGATTTTTTGACCATTCTTAAATATGTTTGAGTATTTGTTTACTAATTCTAATTTTTCGTCCAAAATCCCCCTGTAGGGGGACAGGCACGACTTAAGAGTAATGGAGGCTGCGTGGACCACATCGAGGTCACAATTTATTCGGAGGCGCAGGCGCTGCAGGTGGCTCTTGCAGATTATCGTCACGCTTTCGGTTGTACATGCGCGCGCGTTCTGCTGGAGACGGCTCTGACATCTAGATTTGCAGACGACAGGATATCCGGGACAAGCGGGTGGTAGCATCCAACGTGCACCTTTCGCTCGATGATCCTCGGTTATAAACGAGGCACGAGTCACAGCAAACACAAGGGCCCCATCTTCGCCAGTCATCTCCCCGCCCCCTCTGAACACTCGCATGGGGTATCGTTGACCGCTTGGGTCATTTGGGGGGTGTGCGCACGCACTTCCCACGGGCGCACGCAGGCGGGGCGACGAGCCACACGGCCGATGGAGCCGGCGCAGCCCGGCGGGTATGCGAACTGAAGCCGGGCTGAGTGTGGCCTCCAGGGACGCCCTGGGCAGTGGGAAGCGAACAAGAAAGGAACCGCCAGCCCCTCACGGGGCAGGCGCGTCGCGAGCACGCAGGGGCGTATCGTCGCCGCGGCAAAGCCGCCTTGCGCCGGCCGCTTGCCCTTGCCCTGGCCGCCGCCGCCGCCGGCCCAGCGGCGCTTCCTGTTCATGTAGCGGGGGGCGGCGGGCAGCGGGCCGCGGCGGGGAGCCGCGGGCCGCGGCGCCAAGCGGGCTCCGGCGGGGAGGGCCCCGCAGGCGGCGGCCGGCAGCGGGCGCCAGGCAGGCGCTGCCGCGCGTCGATGCGGAGCCGTCGCCGGGGAGGGCCGGTGGGGCGCGCCAGCGGTTCTCACGGCGACGGGCCGTCATTGTGGTGGATTCGCGTGCGGCAGGAAGCGCGGGGGAGCGAGGCGCCAAGCTCCGCCTCCAGCATGCGAACCCTACCCCTACCCCCCACGATTTCTGAGGAGGAGGGTGGGGTTCACTTCGCTCGGGAGCTCCCGAGCGAAGTGAACCCCACCCTCCTCCTCAGAAATCGTGGGGGGTAGGGGTAGGGTTCGCATGTGGCCCCCTAAAGCTGTCGCACGGGCCGCGAGAACGCGCCGATGCGGGAACACCCGTCAGAGGGGCGGTGGGCTGGCGGCGGTCGAGAGGGGATCTGGTGCGCCTGCAGGAGGAGGTGGGGGCGCGTCGCTGGCCGACCTCGGGCACGCCGCCGATGCTCGCGGCGAGGCCGCTGCTGTTGATCCGATGGTGGCTGGAGACTTGGAAAGGTCGGACGGTGCCGTTGCCGGTTGGCGCGCGGCGGGAGGGAGGGCGGCGGGCAGGGCTGCCAGGGCCGCGGAGGCCACGCCCGGGGCGCTGGGCGGGCGGGGCCCCTGCGCTGCAGGGGCCCGAGCGGGAGCGCAGGGGCAGCGTGCCGCCGATCCCCGCGGTGAGGCCGTCGCTGTGGGCGCGCGACGCGAGGGCGCCGCTGGGCAGCCGGCCGGGGGGCTGGTGGTGGGCCTGTTTTCCACCACCACCAGAAAGTTGGAGGGGGGAAGGAGGTGGAGGACGAGGAAGAGGAGGAGGAGGACAAGACAAGACACACTTGCGATCCACTGACCTGCTACTCCTTGCAAACAACAAAAAAAGAAGTGGCGCCTGGAACTTGCAGTCGACCTATTCTGGATCTGTGTACGCTTCTATGAGCGTCTGTCTAGATCGCTCTGCTGGGGGACACCACTGGCTCAATCCGAGAGCCTCCATTCGGGGGACACCTGGAGGCCTCGGCTGAGCACCGCACCGCAGCTGAACGGATGGCAAGCGAGTCGAGAGATCGCTTGCCTGCATCATGATATGGAAATAAGTGCACAACCAAAGATCAACATGCATGCGCACACACTGCACAATGTGAAAGTGCCGAGTGCGAGACAATTGAACCAACGGAGATGAGCTCAGAACAGAAAATGACCTCCGCGCCCGAAGGCCACCCAGTCCTGCCTTACGGCTGGGGATTGGAGATCCTGTCATCATCGCCCATGTGATACAGCTCATGATTTGCACGCGTGCTCACAAGTTGACGATGCGCCTGCTCATCAGAAGAAACAGTGGCAATCTGTGGATCAACTCGCAATCTCATGGATCGAACATTCGAGGCCCTTCGTGCCAGATCCACCAGAGAAATAGTGTGCTGCAACTCATCTGCATAAAAAACTCTGAACTCCTGTCCAGTGGGCGTCTGGTAGCATAGAATAGGCTCTGAGCTCCCATTTTCCAGATTGGATAGGCCAGCATGCTGTAATAGGCCATCTTTCGCCATCTGGACCATTCGAGCTGACCCCTTGATCGTAGTCAATGTAGCTACCCCTCGCTGAGCTCGTCCTCGCTGAGCTGCTCGTCCTCGCCCCTCTTCATCCCGAGCTTCCCCAGCAGGCGCTCCGCTTCGCGCTCGAGTCCCCCTTGGGGGGGCCTCCAGGCTTGAACTGGCCCCCGTGCGAGACCAGGCTGTGGAACAGAGCTTTGTGAACCGTGCCGACATTCTCCCCGTCCCAGGCGATCGTCGACGTTTGCAGTTCGGACGACAGCATGTACTGGAGTTTGAAGAACTTCGGCTGCTCTTTCTTCTTGCGGTTGTAGTACGTCGGCCGCATTCTGCAGTATCTCACCTGATCCTGCAGCACCTGCAAGTTCGACTCGGGGGTGTTGATGTTCCCGTCCTAGTAGACCTGCATGGCCGCCTTGCTCTTGACGGGGGTGTTCGGGTGAGCCAAGAGCGCCCTGACCAGCGCCATCCACATGTGGGGCCAAGGCGGTCCCAGACCGTGATCCTTGCCCTTCTCTTTGCACGTGAGAGAGTAAAGCTTTCCCGCCTCTTGCAGCGCAATCACGATGAAGTGTGCAGCGGGAAGCAGAAAACAACTGAATGAGGCGCCAATCAGGTCGGCTACGTCGCGCGAGTTGGCGATGCACAGTCGGGTCAGGACGCGCATCAGCGACTTGAAGGGGCCAGGAGGAGGAGGAGGAGGAGGAGGAGGAGGAGGAGGAGGACCCCCTACCCCCTCCCCCTCCAACTTATGGTGGCGGGTGGTGGTGGAAACTATAGGCCCATCACGGGGCACGGTGCGGACTGGGCCGAGGGGGCCGGGGCCGCGGGGGCGGGCGACCGGCGATCCTCGAAGCGAAGCCGTCGCCATAATCAGATCTGATGGTCGCGCGAGACAGGCCAGCAGTGTGCACACACACACACACGGACACGGACACGGACACGGACACGGACACGGACACGGACACGGACACGGACACGGACACGGACACACACGCACACATTTTGTTGGCGGTTGCGGCCTCGTGCGCAGCGTCGAGGCGAAGAAATGTCGGATCCGATGCGCACACGGCCGTGCTCTCAGGGGAATCTCCGCAGATCTCGTGTTCGCCATCAGCAGCAAACCCCATCCACGAACACGCACACACACACTTTTTGCGTTGGCGGCCAGGACGCACACGCACCAAACACACACTCACACATACACACACATACACACATACACACATTTACACACATACACAAATACACGTACACGCATACACACATACATACACATATACACATACACACATACACACATACACACATACACACATATACATACGTACGCATGGACACACATACAAGCATACACACATACACACATACACGCATACACATACACACATACACACGACACACCTACACATACACACATACACACATACACACATACATACATACACACATACACACATACACATACACACATACACGCATACACATACACAAGTACGCATGCACCCATACACATGCACACATGCACAACACATACACATCCACATATACACACATACACACATACACGCATACGCACACTCACACATACACACATTCACACATACACACATACACACATACACTCACACATGCACATACATATACACATACCTATACACATACACATACACATCGAAATACACACACATATACACATACACACACACGTCCCGGATAGACTGCATAATGTTCGTTGGTTGCAAGTTTGTTGTCACGGTGGGGGCACCATGGAGGGGGGTCCAGCGCCGATCCAGGAAGTCCGCGCAGAACTCCGAAAGTTAATGTTCATATTTTTGTTTGTTTCTGGCGCCGCTGGTTCTGGCCCATCACGTTTCGGCGCCACACGCTAAGCACGTCCGAGTCCCCAAGAATCAACGTTCCGAGCTTCTCCCAGGCCTCCCCCCTTGCCGCAATCGTGGCTCTCCGAATTCCCTTGCGCTGTCCATGCTACCTTCTGCCCGTGCTGCCTCGAAGTCCACGCCTTGACGCAGCCACCAGCTCAGGGCATGGAGAATTTTATCAGCCTCGGCGACCGCGTGCTCGTCTCTGGGATGGGACCGGTTGCGGGGCTTCATCACAGCGAGAGGGCCAGATAAGAGGAAAGAGGACGAAGACGCAGCATGTCGGCACATCAGTTCGAAGTACGTTTCGTGTGTTCACGTTTGTTGGCGCTGGCCCGGGCGACGGACGGTGGCGTCCGTTTTCTTTGTTGTTTCCGTGTCGGTGCCCAGTCGGTGGGATCCTGTTTTGAGTTCAGAGCCAACGCCTGCGTATGGCATGGATGTACTTGTGTTGCGGCTCTGCGCCTAGTGCAAGGGCCGACGGCACGTGACTCCGCAAACCGAACCGAGCGGAGTAAGATGATCATTTGTTGATTCATTGTTTTGCCGATCGGCGCGGGCCCTCGCACCCTCCTCCTCCATGGAGTGGATCTTGGTTGTTTTTGGGCGCCTGTTTCGAGCGGGCGGAGTCCCCCCCTGTAAGACGCATTGCTGCAACAGTCGCACTAAGCAGAGGTCCGGAGCCAGACCCCCCCCTCCCCCCCCCTTCCGCCCAATGTCGAAATGCCGAATTAAACAACGATCACAAGTCAGGAAGTATCCAGCGTGGGTCAGGCAATCTGCTGGTGTGCTCGATTGCTTCGGTGTCCGAGGAGTGGTGGTGGTGGTGGTAGCTCATCCGTCAGTCTTATCAAGATTGGCCCGTTCACGGAGCTGTCCCGCTCCTCTTCACCGATGAAGGCTAATGGGCCAGTCATACCGATGCATCAACATGGCACCGCTGATGTGTTAGACGCGCGGCAAGGAATTACGGTGGCCATTGGTACGCACAGCATTCGTCTAGTTCGGCGGACGAGGTCAGCATCGCGACCCCCCAGCGAACGACTTATGATGTGTACAAGCAGTCGGTCTGACGCCGTGCTTTGATACAAGACGTGCGCATTCAGATATCGCGATGCGCCAGGGTACGCGTCTCCTTCATTCCGCATGTGCGCAAGTTGACAAGGACGTCCAGCCGCGACGAATGCGTATGACAGGCATTGGTGCCGGAAATCCGAGACGTCATGCAGGGCGATTTTTCTCATTAGTGTAAGTCTACTTGGTAGCTCGACGGCGATGAGCACACCAAGGTGAAGTGAGAATGTGGGTTGCTCTGGTTGCCCTCGCACTTCTTCTTTCTATTCTGCTTCGGTCTCCCTTCTCGCCGTCGTTCCCTCTTGCCCATGTCCATTGTCGTTTTTCGCCGTCACCACCCATTATCAAGTCGTTGATTCGTCCATGTCTGCTGTAACGGTTCTCATTGGTTCCTTCGCTCCAGAGTGGGTAGCCTGAGACACGGACGGGGTGTTGATGAACATGTGTCGTTGAGAGAGAGGACGGGGAGATGTGCCGCCAGCAGCGATCACAGGACGTGCGTGGCCAGGGGCGTAACCTGGAGCAACAGTGATCCTCAATCCTCATCCTCCACCTCCTCCTCCTCCTCCTCCCTCCTCCTCCTCCTCCTCCTCCTCCTCCTCCTCCTCCTCCTCCTCCTCCTCCTCCTCCTCCTCCTCCTCCTCCCCCCCCCCTCTTCCTCCTCCCCCTCCTTCTTCTCCTCCTCCTCCTCCTCCTCATCCTCCTCCTCCTCTTCCTCCTCCTCCTCCTCTCAGGAATGGGGAGGCTCGGCAGAAAAAACATCAAGGACGGCTCTCTGGCAGAGGTGGTTGGCGTTTATCCTGATGGCGACATCGAGGCGGTGGCTCTCTTTTGCACGCGTTGAGAGCGGATCGCTCGCTGATGCCGGATGGGTGCCCAGGAGGAGAGGGAGGAGCAGCAGCAGCAGGAGAGTGGAGGAGAGAGGGGAATAGGAGAGGAGGATGGGTGGGTGGATGGGGAGGGATGGGGGAGGAAAAGAAGGGGGAAGGGGGATATGAAGCTAAGGGGGAACTTGTTCCTCATTGCCTTTTGGCCCTGCATTGTGTCCTTATCCTCGACACGCGTTCCCCTCCTCCTGCTCCTTCTCTTCCGTATCCGTGTGTTTCCCTGGCTCCCCCCACTATCAAGTTTTACGTGCGCCCCGTCATCGCCTTTATCCGATATTCGTCTTCGCACTCCGCGACGGCGTTCTAAAAAGCGCGCGACCCCCAGTCTGTTACAATGTTTGCTGCGCTCAGACCGCGGGTCGTAGTTGGGAGCGCCAGCCCATCACATGCCTGAGCAAGCCTTAGCTCCGATTGTCTCTGCTGTTCTGGCACGCATGCCATCACGCAGCGTACCTTGTGCTCGGCACGGGCTTCCTGTGCCCTTCTCTGCCTCGACTCCTTTCCCGCGCGCCGCCTCGTGACCTGCGACCTTCCCCTGCGCGCCCCCACCGTGCCAGGCCGACGGTGGGGGGGCTTTCGTTGAGGAACGTGCCCATGTGGCTTGAGACCCTGTCGAATCCCCTATCGAATGAGGGCGGCGGTAATGTCCGTGGCCGATCCACGACTGGAGTTCCGCCGGCCTCCGGGCCCTGGATTCCTCATCCAAGGATGTCTCATCCCATGCCCCCACCGTAGCTTGGCCACGCGCAGAGGTGGGGGAGGGGGGAAGGCTTCTTGGAAGCAGCCCTGCTTCACAGAAGGCGCGGGCCTCATCTGTAGATGCAGGGTTCCTGATCCAAGGGTTCATGTGCCAATGCCCTCACGGTACCTCCTCGTCCTCACCGTCATTCCTCCTCCCCCTCCCCCTCGTTCCTCCTCCTTCCTCCTCCTCCTCCTCCTCCTCCTCGTCCTCCTCCTCCTCGTGCTCCTCCTTCTCTTGCTCCTCATCTGCGTACTCCTCGTACTCTTCCTTCTCCCTCTTCTCCCTCTGCTCCCGCCCCCGCCTCCTCGTTATCTTTTTCGTTATTATCATCATCCCCCCCTCCCCCTCTTATTCCTCTTCCCCCCTCCCAGAAAAATCAGAAGAGACTCGGAGGGTCACTCTGAGGGAAAAGTTCCTCTTATTCCCCAAGGGCGTGCCGACTCTTCGCCACTCGACTTGTGTCGGGGGTGGACAGAACCCCCAAGAGTGACACGTCGACTAGTGAGTTGTCCGTTTTCGGTTCTCGACAGGGCGCCGTGGCCGTTATTTTCCAGGCTTGCGCCCGCCAGGTTTGGGCCTCAGGTCGTTTTCACAAAACCGCGTTTTACTAAAGGGGGTTTGTCCATCCCCGATTGTGGGGATCGAGCCAGGTAAAGCCAGGCAAGTGCAGATTCATCGACGCAAATCCACGCAGATCCAGATCCATCCGGGCAGATCCAGGTGGCTCCAGAGATCTCTGGGGAAGGTTGGAGCAGCTCGCGGCCGCTCCAGCGCGAGTCGAAGGACGGCAGGAGTCGTCAAGCCTTCAACGACAAAGGCGCCCCTGGCCCAAGGTGCCTCCCAGCTTTCGTTTCATTCTGGAGCCTCTGGGGCCCTCCCGGCCTCGTGAGGTGTGCTCTGGGAGCCGTGGTGGCCTCCTTGGGAATCCTGGGAGCACCTTCGGCCTGGGCACTTCTAGCAACACCCGACCCCACGCCTCCCGCTCGGCCGCCCCCCAGGGTCGCCCCGTGCCTCCCACGCCTGCAGAGGGATTGCCGCCGCGCCAAAGAGCGGGCGGTATCGGAGTCCGTCCTCCTCGCGAGGTCGCCCTCCAGCAACCGCTCGGCATATCGCTACTGCGTTATTCATTCCTTCACGTGCTGCGGGAACCTGCTTCTGTGTTTTTTCTGTCGGCCGTCGAACACTCCGAGGCGCGGCAAGGGGCGAGCTGGACGGCCACGCCTGGCTTCCTCCCCCGGATAATCTCACTCTGACGAGGAGCATTGCTCTTGAATTTGTAGTGGTTGCTGCGTACCCCGAGCTCCTGTGATGCTCGGCGGTGCTGGTGACGTGCAGCCAGCCTTGGAACTCGGGCCGAGGGTTTCCGCCTTCGCATCGCACAGCTTTGCAATCATCGTATTGTCGCATAGGGCCAGGCGGTGCTGGCTATGCTGCCAGCCCTGGAACTCGGGCCTTGGGGTTCCGCCTGTGCTCTGGCATTCGTTACCTCTCCCCGTGCATCGCGGCTTAATTCGCAATTGTTCGTCCAACTTTCGCCCTTCCGCCAGCGCAGTCACTCTGCCTAGCCGCCGACGCAAAAAGTGCTCTGACATTACGTTGTTTGCAGTCCAGCTGGGTTGCTGGCCCTTCCGTTGGTTTCTCGTTGTTTTTAGCCCTCTGGGCTTCCTTGGTTTGGGACGAGCCATGCGCACCTCCCGCCTATGTCTGTCCTGGCCTCTGCGCGGGCATCTCCCTGGGATGGCCGCCCGTCAGGCTTGTCCGTTCCCGTCGTGCCGTCTGACCGCAGCGGTGAGTTGCAGGTCATCTTGCAGCTTTTGGTGGCGGTCGTCGTCGTCGTCGTCGTCGTCGTCGTCGTGGTGGTGGTGGTGGTGGTGGTGATGGTGGTGGTGGTGGTGGTCGTCGTCGTCGTGGTCGTCGTCGTCGTCGTCGTCGTCGTGGTGATGGTGGTGGTGGTGGTGGTGATGGTGGTGGTGGTGGTCGTCGTCGTGGTCGTGGTCGTGGTCGTCGTCGTCGTCGTCGTCGTCGTCGTGGTGGTGGTGGTGGTGGTGGTGGTGGTGATGGTGGTGGTGGTGGTCGTCGTCGTCGTGGTCGTCGTCGTCGTCGTCGCCGTCGTCGTCGTCGTCGTGGTCGTCGTCGTCGTGGTCGTCGTCGTCGTGGTCGTCGTCGTGGGCGTCACCACCGCCGTCAGGTGTATCGCTTTCGGTGGAGAGAAGGGTGCTTCCGAGTCTCCCCATGCGCTCCGTTTTCAGACTGCTGTGCCAAGGTGCTGCAGATGATGCTGATGTCAAGCAATCATTGGGAGTCGAGGTTTGGCGCTGACCCGCGTCCAGGTAAAAGTGTTCCACCTCCCCTCCATCCCTCCTCCCCCCACCCGTTGGGGAGCCAGGAGTTGACGCGAACCCGCGTCCATGCAACATCATTTCCCCTTCTCCTCCTCCTCTCTCCTCCTCCTCCTCCTCCTCCTCCTTCTCCTCCTCCTCCTCCTCCTTCTCCTCCTCCTCCTCAGGAGGTCGCCCTCCGAGGGGATGGGAGCGCGATCGGGGGGGGGCGGGAGGAAGCGGGAAGGCGGGAGGCACTGGGCTGCAAGCAAGGTGACAATGCTCTGGGCGGGGAGCCAGGGGGCAGGAAGGAACGAAGAGCAGGGAGGGGACAGGCGGAGCAGAAGGAGGAGGAGGAAGAGGAGGAGGAGGAGGAAGAGGACGAGGATGAGCATGAGGACGAGGAGGAGGAGGAGGAGGAGGAGGACGAGGATGAGCATGAGGACGAGCATGAGGACGAGGAGGAGGAGGACGAGGAGGAGGAGGAGGAGGAGGAGGAGGAGGAGGAGGAGGAGGAGAGGGAGGGAGGGTGAAGAGGAGGCACTAGGAAGCAGGAGAGACGAGAAGAAGAGAGAGAGGCGGTTGGAGGAGCACGGGGCGATGTCCGGGCCGACTCCGGCGCGCTGCCAAAGAGCTCCTGGGCAGGAGCGGAGGCGGCAGGCGGCCGCGCAGACCGAGTCGGATCTCCCGGGGCCGACGCGCAGCACAGATGCTGCCTGCAGCAGCTCGCCTCTCGCACGCTTGCTCCCCCATCGCCTGGCGTGGTCGGTGGGCGCCCTCGATGGCGCGAAGTTATTCGCGCTTCGCGCTTCGTGGTTCGGCTCCGACTCCTCCTCATCCTCCTCTTCTCCCCTGGGAGGCGGCGCGAGAGCGCGAAGTTATTCGCACTTCGCGCTTCGCGCAGCCCGAAGCGCGAAGTTGGGAGCCCTTGCTTGGTCGGTGGGCGGAGGAGGAGGAGGTCCTGTCCCCACCCCCCATCCAGGGGCCGCTGGGGGACCCTACCCCGCCTGCTAGGGCCCTCCGTCTTGCGCCTCTCCGTCTTGCCCCCCCTGAGGGCCCTCCGTTTGGGGGATCTCGTTTTCCCCACCTCCTGGAGCTACCTAGTTTGATCAACCCCCCTCCAGCGGAGGCCATCACGATGGCAGCTCTCATCACTGAGTCCCAATGCCACCTGTCCTGATTCCTGAGGATGAGGAGGGTGAGGAGGAGGAGGAGGAGAAGGAGGAGGAGGAGGAGGAAGAAGAGGAGGAGGAGGAGAAGGAGGAGGAGGAGGAGGGGGGGGAGGAGGAGGAGGGGGGGAGGGGAGATGAGCAGGATGCAGAGGAGATGGACTGGGGGAAGTAGGGCGCTGAGCGGGACGAGGGGGCAGTGGGCTGAGGGGAGGCCATAAAAGGGGAGAGAGCCAGCGCCTCGTCGAGCCCACTGTTTCAGTCTCTATTTTTCTTCTGCACCTCTCTCACACACTCTTTCGCCATCTCTGTCTCTCTCTCTCTCTCTCTTTCTCTCTCTCTCTCACTCTCTCTCTCTCTCACTCTCTCTCTCTCTCTTTCTGTTTCTCGCGCGCGCTACCTCCTTCTGTCATCCTTATTCCCCTCCTCTCTCGCAAGGAGGCTTGCCATGTTTGCAATGCTGCTCAAAGTTACCTCATCCCTGCCACCCTCACCCTTTATCCCTCCCTCCCTTACTACCTCGGTCGATTTACCATGCTGGCTCAACATCATTGAACTTCCTTCTATGTGTCGATACGTCGCTCTGTGTTCGGCTCTCTCTCTCTCTGTCTCAGCCTCGGCATTCACAGCTTCACCCAAGTATCTTTCCCGCTCCAGTCGCCTCGATACGTCACTCCTCATGTATGTCACGCTCTGCGAATGCATGGGCCTAGCTTGGTGTTGCACTTGCATCACGCTGCGAGTAGCCGCCCTGATGCTCTGAGGTGCAGCTGGTCGAAGGCGGCAGGTTTGCACGATGCAGGCCCCTCCATCTGCGCAAGGATGCGCCAGCAAGTTCCTGCGATGTTTGGAGAGGCAACGTGCTACATTCGTTGTTGAACGTGGTTACATGATGTACGCGTATTTGTTCTTCCTCCACCCCACGCCCCCTGGAAGCGAGAGCGTGCTATAATAATTATCAGTTATCCGTCCTTCTGTGCTGGAGACACGTCCATGCATCAGCGTTGGTACAATTGCTATCGACGTCGCTTACGGCGAGCCGCCGCGGACCATTACCGTTTGGAAGCGCCTGTGTCGTAAAAGTGTCGAGCGAAAGTGCGACCACGCTCATGGACTGCGTGTCCCCCCCGCCATTGGGGCAACCTTCGCAGAAGCGCTGGGAAATGCCCTCTGGGCTGTCTTGGGGCTCTCCTCGAGCCCTTCGGGCTTCCTTGGAGGCCTTCCAGGTCTCTGCGGGCTTCTTGCGCACCTGTCTGGGATCGACGGGCCGCCTTCGGGATCGCGCTGCCGTCAGGGGCTGGCCTGCAGGCTTGCCCTGCGGCTCGTGTTAAGTCGGGCCTGTTCCTCTACAGGGGGATTTTCGACGAAAAATAAAAGATACACCAAACATAGCACAAAACACAAACATTGTTTGGGGATTATGTTTTGAAGATTCGTTTGACACGTTCGGGGCATTTGGGGGGTATTTTTTATGGTTCGTCGAAAATCCCCCTGTAGGGGGACACGCCCGACTTAATGCTCGTGTGACCTTCCCGGGCGGGTCAGGCGGCTGCAGGCCGAGCAGCCGCAGCCAGGGGAGCTGCGGTCCCCGAACCACACCTGGGGGGGGGGGCCATCGGCTTCGGCACCCCTCCCCCAGGGGGTGACCACCTGGGGGGGGGGGGGGCAATCGGCTTCGGCACCCCTCTCGGCAGATCGTCGACACGATGGGCCCCCCCCCCCCCTTGGCTGTGGCTGGTCGAGCAGGGCAGAAGGCCGCCCTGCCACACGGGCCAGGCACCGGCAGGCGTGGGCCCGCGGGGCCCCGCCGCGGAGCCCCTGGCCGCCGCCCGGGGCCGGAGGGCCCACGGCGTGCCCCTCCGCAACGGGAGCGGCCGCGGGCCAGGAGGCGCGGCCGAGTGGCCCCTGCAGACGCCGCGGATGGCCAGGAGCTCCTCTGCTGGGGCGGCTCGGGGCCGTCCGGGGGCGCCGCCCCCGGGGGCGTCCCTCCGAAGCGCTTCGTCGGAGCACCCGGCCAGGGCGCCGAGGAGGGCGCGGGCCGTCTGGGGGCGCCGCCCCGGGGGCGCCCCTCCGAGACGCTTCGTCGGAGCACCTGGCCAGGGCGCCGAGGAGGGCGTGGGCCGCCTGGGCCAGCCCGTGGGGGCCGGGCCGCCCTGGGTCTGGGCCGCGGGTCGGCGGCGCGCCGAGGGCTCTCGTCGTGCCGTGCCGACTTCGGCGCCGGTTTTTCTGGCACCGCAGGCCGTGCCGACTTCGGCGCTGGTTTTCCCGGCGCCGCGGGCATCGCTCGGCCCGGAACGATCGGCCGTCTCCCAGCGTCAGATCGTCCGCGCGCCGAGGGCTCGTGCCATGTCGACTTCGGCGCTGGTTTTTCTGGCACCGCGGGCATCGCTCGGCCCTGAACGGTCGGCCGTTTCTCAGCGTCGGATCGTCCGACCACCGGCAGCTTCCGGTCGCCGGCGGCGGCCAGCGCGGCATGCCACCGGCAGGGCCTGCGCGGCGCGCCACGGGGGGGAGGGAAGCGAGAGCTGCGCAGTCCCTCCGCGAGGGCGGTGGGGCTTCTCGGAAGTCCTCCGGCCTGCCGGGAGGCCCCCCGCGGCGTCGGAGGAGGCTCGGGAAGCTTCTCCAGGGGCGGAGGCCTCCTCCAATCCTCCTCCTCCTCCTCCCTCCTCCTCCTCCTCCTCCTCCTCCTCCTCCTCCTCCTCCTCCTCCTCCTCCTCCTCCTCCTCCTCCTCCTCCCTCCTCCTCCTCCTCCTCCTTCTCCTCCTCCTCCTCCTCCTCCTCCTCCTCCGTAGCCATTTTGGCTCAAGGCTGATGCTTCTGCGGGCGGAGCCCGCATCGGCGAAACTGGATACCGCTAGTCCGCGGCATACCCCGTCTGTTTCGCAGAGCCTGGTCCGCCCCAGGACTCTGCGTGCCGCCTGCAGCCCGCAGGTGAGCACTCCTGTTGCTCAGCGACCCGCGGCATGGGAGACGATGGCAAGGCAGCGGGGTATATTGGGTGCAAAGCGTGCGGCTACAAGTGGAACTGGAGCAGCAAAGTCGAGTGCTTCAAGTGCAAGGCGAAGCTCCGCCCCACCGTCGGCGTCCCACCGCCACCGTCTGGAGTTTGGGCACAGAATGGATCTCATTCTGCGGGTTGGCCACGCTCGGGACGGCAGTGGAAGAAGTGGGCACCATGGCGGCACTCCACGTACGCAAGCACCAAGGCTGGCTGGGACACCGTGGAGGCGCAGATGGGCGATGGCGGACAGTCCGACCCGATCACCACGGTCTCCCTCATCACGAGCTTGGCTGCGTACCAGGGCGTCGGCGAGAAGAGCGACCCCACCATCACGGCCGCCTTGGACACGCTGCGCCGCAAAGCCCAAGAGGAGGAGGCCAACGCCAAGCCTGCACCAGCCCCACCCAAGCAGCGTACGGGCGCCCAGCTGCTGGCCGACGCCAATCGCGCGCTCAAGGAGCTGGACAATCGCATCGAGAAGCAGCGGACGAAGCTCACGGGCGCGCAGCTGTACTTGGACGACCAGCTCGAGAAGATGGACAAGTTGGCCCAGCAGAGGGTCGAGGTGCAGCAGCGGCATCTCACGGCGCTCCAGCAGGCCAACCAGGAGTCGGGCATCATCGTGGTCAAACCCGATGAGAAGACCCTCAACGTCAAGTTCGAGTACGACGGCTCGCTCTTCGAGGGCCTCGAGGAGTGCGACAGACCGTCCGAGGAGATGGACAGCATCATGCAGTGGAAGAGCGAGCTGGAGCAGTTCCAGAAGGAGCAGCTGGGCACCCTGCAGGCGAAGTTCAAGTACATCGAGGAGATCCACCAGAAGGCAAAGAAGGCCATGCAGGCCCCCAAAAAGAAGCGTAAGGTCGAAGCAGGAACGGAAGGACCCAAGGCAGAGGCAGTGGAAGAGGAACCCCCTGCGCCAGAGGCACCCACCACAGCAACGCCAGCGATCGCAAGCAACGGCGCAGGTGCGGCAGCCATCAACCCCGAGGACGAGAAGAAGAAGATCAGGGATGCCAATCAGGCAGCCTTGGAGCAGGCTCGGGCTGAGAGGCGCAAGGCTCGCGAAGCTCATGAGCAAGCTGACGGTCTGGCTGATGGTGCTGAGCAGTCTGGGCTTTAGCGAGGCGCAGTCCACCCAGCAGCAGAGCGAGGAGTTCCAGGTCCTGTTCGGCAACGTTGCGGAGTGGGGCCCACAGGTGCAGAACTACGTACAAGGCCCAGCCGCGCAGCAGTCAGTTCGATTGCCTGGCGTTTGTGGAAACGCATAAGGGGCCAAACCAAGTCTCAGCCATGAGGACGTTCCTGCAGAAGGAAGGATGGAAGGCGGCGATTACCCCCGCGGTCCCCAGTGGCAAGTCGGAGAAAGGATGGTCCGAGGGTGAACTCGTCGCCACGCGCACACACATACAGTCCACGTCCTTGGAGCACTGGAAGGGCAAGCACGACAAGCAAGGGCACTCGGCCTTCGTCGGTTTCTCCCCCATGGTGCTGCACCTCAGCATCGGCAATTTCATCATCATCGCGGCGTACCTACTACCGACCCTGCGTTTCACGGGCAGGAACCGAAAGGTCATGGCAGCCCTCGCGGCCTTCGTGCGCTTGCTGAAGGACCCATGGCTCGTCGTGGCAAATTGGAACTGCGTCCCTACTGAGCTGCTCGCATCTGGTTGGATAGAACAGATGCGAGGCGAGATCGTCACGGGCCCAGAGGAGGTCACATGCGACAAAGGCAAGGGCTCCCTCTACGACTACGGCGTCGTCGCCGCGGGCTGCAAGGAAGGGCTTACCATTGCCAAAGAGCTGACAGTACCATGGGCGACGCATTGTGGGCTTCGCATCAGGCTGGCAGGCAAGAAGCAGCGATGGTGGCACCGCACGCTGGACATTCCCAAAGCGTTGCCCACGGTGCCGAGGCCGAAGAAGCAGAAGGACCTGGACAGCAAGCGGAGTAAGCAGCAGGTACGACGCCAACAGAGACGCGAAGAGCTGGAACCTGTACTTTGGCATGGTTTCGACCTCCTCGAGCAGGATCCAGGCACAACGACTACGAACACATCCCCGACAACTCAGACTCCAAGCGCGGACTCACCGTCCATCAATTTCCACATCAGTAGCGCTACGTGGGAGGATGCCAAATGGGGATTGTCTGGCATTCCACCAGATATACAACTCAGAGGGGACCGTTGGCGACCTCAGGCCTATCGTGATCGCCCACTGCTGGCGCAGAAGTTGGCGAACAGCTACGGCAGGTGGATCGAGGCCGTGGAGGAGGCAGTTTTGCAGCATTCAAAGGTACCCCAACACCAACGAGACGGCTATCGAGGAAGGGCGCAGGGTTTCGGCATCAAGTGGACAAAGAGCACAGCATCGCCGGGCAGACCGCATCTGTACAATTCTGAGGCAGATTGGTGGGCCATCACGCACACGCAGGTGATCGCGATCAACGGCCTAGTGAAAAACAACAAAGACCCACAGCAGCTGCTACAACGAGGGCAAGAGTTACGACAGCGTATACAGCAGGTACATGTGGTCAGCAAGCACAACGATATCGAGCTGCTCAACCAGTGGCAGCAGATGGCGCACGACATTTTCAGCCCAGCCCGTCAGGAGAGAGAGGACGTGATAGAGATCACCGAGAGGTTGGCAGGACAAGCTGCGCGGAGAGCTCTGGCAGATGGCACAAAGGGCTTCATCAGGTGGGCGCAAGATATGCGGAAGAAGACCCCTGGAGCCCTGCACAGATGGACGAAGGACACGCAGCAGCCGCGGCTCGAGGAGATGATCTCAGGCAAGATCGTGGCCGACCCCATCCTCATCATGAGCCACAAGAGCGAAACTTGGGCCAAGAAGTGGACGGCCGCCCCGCATAGACAGACAGCACTTGCATGCGCTCTTCGACGTTGCCGTCTCTCGGCGGCCCAAGAGGACCTCCCACAGCTCACGATCCAGGACCTCAACGCAGCCACCCACCGTATGGGGGTCGAGAAGGCACGAGGTATCGATGCGATAGGTCCCTTGGACATCGAGAGGCTCCCTGACCAGGCCAAGTACGACTTTTTGGATATCATCGCGCAAGCCGAAGAGCATCTGATGTGGCCTCCTCAAGTCCTAGGCACCATCGGCGCGATCGCGGGCAAACCAGCAGGAGGTGATCGGGTCTTAGGGCTTTTACCTATGACGATTCGTATATGGTCACGAATGCGATCGGGAGTGGTCGAGTCGTGGACGCAGCAGTTGGAGGACCACTGGGATACAGCGTTGCGTGGATCCTCGGCGCTACGAGCGGCTTTGCTGCGAGCCACCCTCGACGAGACGGGCCATTCCATGGGCATTGCACATGCGGAGTTGTTCGCGGATATGGAGCAGTTTTACGATTCGTTAGACTTGGGATGGCCTATTGACACGGGGACCGGGCTGGATTTCTCACCGACAATTGTGGCTATGGAGGTCGAAGCGTTCCTGGGCCCACGGCACCTCAAGCACACGGAGTGGATCGGACCCAGGATCGACCCGTCATGTTCGATCGTGGCGGGCTCAGCCCAAGGGACTAGATTCGCCAAGGTGTACCTGTTCCCGCTCTTGGACGCAGCCCAGAAGCGAGTCCAGGCAGCGGGTCTATGGACATACGTGGACGACACGGTTGGAAGGGTCGAAGGTACCGAGGAGACGGTGGAGCAGCAGATGGTGGAGTTGGTCGATGAGTTCATCGCCCAGGCAGAGAAGCGCAGCCTCATCATCTCGCCCAAGACGGTGCTCGTGGCATCCAATCCCAAGCTCCGAAGACGAATATGGCGCAGACTACAACGCCGAGGACCCCCTGGTAAGCAACACAGCGACATGGTGGACTTGGGCACCGACGTCAGTGGCATGGGCAGGCGCGCACAGAAAAAGGCTCGGGCGCGGCAGCGAAAGGCCAAGCAGCGAGCGGGCAAGATTTTCAGGCTACGAAGGATGGCGACGCGAGTGGCGCGGATTACCAAGGGCCTCTTCACCACAGGCGTCTCCCCTCAGGAGTCATATGGGCACGAGGTCTGGGGCATTGCACCTAGCCGAATATTACAGTTACGACGTATGGCCATGAAGTCGGCGGCGGGCACAGGACCAGGAAGGTGCTTATCCATTGGCATGGCTGTGCTGTATCACTTGAAGGACCCAGGCATCAGCTTGCGACGGCAACTTGTCAGCGAATGGCTACACCAATGGCTCCTTCACCCAGAAATTCATCGACGAGTACGACAAGCATGGGGACCGACTTACCTTAAGTTTGTCAGAGCAGGCACGCAGCTGTGGCGTAAGGTACACGGCCCAGTGGCAGCGGTGCAGGCTACTCTAATGGCGGCGGGGTGGAAGCCAATCCAGGCGGCACTATGGAAGCGACCGACACCACAAGGTGACGAACAATGGCAGCTCCCCTTCATTGATGACGATGGCAAGTGCGACATTGATGCTATAGAGTACACACAGCTGCTGGAGGATCTGGAGTACGACCTAGAAATGGCGAGGTGGGCTCAAGCAGCTACGCATTTGCACGGGGACGACTTGCAACGAGGAGGAGACATATGGCACATAAGTAAGGAGCAACAAAGATACAGCCAGCGGGCTGAATGGCAAGATTGGGCACTCAATAATGTTGTGGTTACGGGTGGACAATGGACTCGGCAACGGCAGATTCAGGCAGGCTACGAGTGCGACACGAACATCTGCGAGAGGTGCAAGCAGGAGCCCGAGACCATCTTCCACCGCATCTACACCTGTACGGCCAACACAGGACACGAAAACTATGAGAAGACGGACTACTTGGTGCCAAAGGCGCTCGCTGGCGTCGAGGCAAACCCGACCTTATGGCTCCGAGGTATCCCGCCCAGAGAGCTCACTCACCCAGTGGTCAACGACATCGACAGACAGGACTACGTCAGGTTCGGCGACCACGAAGCAGCTCGAGTGCCAGGACGCAGTCTCTATCTATTTGGTGATGGCTCAGGCGGTTGCTACGGTGGCGACCCCCGAAGGAGACGAGTAGGCATCGGAGTGGCGACCATGAAGATGATCGACGGCAAGTGGAGTATGTCAGCAGGTACGATGGCAGACCTACCAGGACGGCGTCAAACCGTACCGCGGGCAGAGATCACGGCCTTCGCGATCGCCATAGAGGAAACGAGAGGAGACATTGTTTACGTCACGGACCACTACCCGCTCCTCGCAGCTTGGACAAACGGCAGAGCTCAAGACCCTGGGCGAGGGAAGAACGCGGATTTATGGGCACGCACCAAGAGGGCGGTGATGGACACGTCCCCCAGACACATCGGAGTGGAGTGGACCCCATCGCACCAGGACGAGGACGAGGTTGAGCTAGTCAACCCAATTTTTGCGATGGGCAACAGCTTTGCAGACGCATTAGCTACGGTTGCGGCAGAAGCTTCTTGGGAAAGAGTGTGCACGCCAATACCACGGACAGACGAATGGGATGCGATCTGTGCTCATGTACGATTACGAGCGAGGCAGGCCTTGGCGGACACGGCGAACATTGACCCCTGGTGCGTTGAGAGGCCCTCCACAGCCAAACCCAAAGCCAAGAGGGACCGAGTGAAGGAAGTCGTCGACAAGATGAAGCAGCACGATATGGTCAGGCTCAAGAATAAGTGGTTTTGCACAGCCTGCAGACAGTACATCACAGCGGACGCCCTGCAGGAGTTTGCCATGACGGAATGCAACGCTACATACAGCACGGCCAACGAGATAGTCGAAGTAAAGGGCGACAGGTTCATGGGCAATGGCAAGATACATTGCAGCCACGTGGTCAGTGAATGGGTGCGGTACGGACTGCTATTCTGCGCGCGGTGCGCAGCACATGGAACGACCATTGGGAAAAGGCTACGCGAGCAGTGCAGCGAGACGATCACCAAGTACGGGCAGGATGCGCTCAACAAGATTCGGGACGGACGCTACCCTGGCTACAGGAAAGAACCGCCGCGAGCTGCACAAGAGGCTCAAATAGCTAGGCAGGTGCGTGAGCTACATGATCAAGAACGGCTAGCGCCGCATGAGTACGGCGGCCCTTTGGTTGGGAATGTGCTCCCTCCAGAACCACACCCTACACCCCGACCGAGACGGAGTACGAGAAAGACACCAGTGGCAAGTATTCGGCCAGCAGCGGTACACCCAACAGTTTGCGAGTTCGAGCCTTTGCCTGAGCCGAGGTCACAGGAGTTGGAGGATTACGACGACCCCGAGGTGCAGAGGGACATCGACGATTTCTTCAGCGAAGAGCCCCTACGCGGGGAGGAGTCAAACCGAGGCGTGCCCCAGCGCGGCGAGGGGTTAGGCCACTGCACACCCCAGCACGGTGAGGGGTTAGACCGTACAGATCGTCGTCACGCAGCTGGATCGGAATCTGCCCCCCACGGCACGCACTGGATGCACGCAGCCCCTTTGGCCACGAGTGCTGAAAGTACCGACCGCGGGGGGAGTCAGAACGTAGTGGACAGCCATAACCACGACGACAATTGCAGGATGGACGACAGCAATGGAGTATTGGATCAAGATCCAGGCGCGATGGGACTACCGCCGATCGTTGAGGACACGGGGCTACAAGATTATGCCGACATGTGTGCTGATCTTAGAGAATGGGCAACACTGTGGTACGACGATCTTACGTGCTTGGCCAGAGACAGCGACAGCTGGCAGGAGTGGTGCGTAGCGATGCTCACGCAGATGCTCACCGACGAGAAC